CGTGCCCGGTGAGGACAGTTGGGGGGGGTGAGGGACGTGTGGGGGCCGGGTGTACTTGTCTTTTCACTCCCACTGAGGTGCTCTTGTTTCTTCTCCCTTCCTTTAGGTGACGCTGTGAAGCCCCCTGCCCCGCAGCCCCCCCCAGACCCCGCTCCCCCATCGGCCCAGCCCAGCAGCAGCCCCCCGCCCGATGCCCCTGCCGACGGGGGGCCGACGGGAGCCCCGGGGGAGACGCCCGGTGAGCAGCTCTGCTGGCTTCTCAGTGAGGCCGCCGCGTGTGGGGCGTGAGCCTGGGCAGGGAGGCTGCAGCCCAAGCCAGGCCCCCCAGCACCACCCCCCATCGCCCCATAGCCTGAGCTCCCGTCTGCCCCCGTGGGGAAGGGTTCTGTGGGGCTCGGCGGCTGGTCTCTTTCCCTCACCCATCTCTGGGGTGGCTATGGGGCAGGACATGTTGGAGGGAGATGGCTGGGGGGAGTTGGTGGGGGGTGGAGTCTGTGGGTCTGTATCGGTGGGGGCTAGGTGTGTGGCACCATTGCCATTTGTGGAGGGCTGTCGGGTTCATGTTGGTGGGGGGGCTGGGGATAGAGGGAGTGGGGTAGGGGGATGTCGGGGAGGCTGGGGATGCAGGGAGCAGGTTGGTGGGGTGGGGGGCTGGGGGCTGGGGGGAGCAGGTTGGTGGGGTAGGTGGTTGTGGGGGGCTGGGGATGGGGGGGTGGGGATGGGGGAGCAGGTTGGGAGCTGTGAGGGGGCTGTGGATGGAGGGAGCAGGTTGGTGGGGTGGGGAACTGTGGGGGGCTGGGGATGGGGGAGCAGGTTGGTGGGGTGGGGTTCTGTGGGGAGGATGGGGGTGGAGGGAGCAGGCTGTGCGGGCTGTGTGTGTGTGGTGGGGGGCTGTGGGGATGCCTGTGGCCGGGATACAGGGAGTGGCTGGGGGGACACACTGGCAGCGGACTGTGAAGAGTGGGGGGCAGCATGTGGTGTGCTCTCCTGGGCCCTGCCCCCGCTCTGGGGATGCTTGAGGATTCAGGTCTGTGGGCCGAATGGCCCCTTGCACATGCACAGGGTGCCCCATGGTGGGGGGGCTCTCAGCTGGCGCAGGCTCTCACAGTCCCCCCCACCCCACCGTCTCGTGGCAGGCTTGGCCGAGGTCTCGGCCTGGGTGCGGGACGTGCTGGGCCGTTTCCCGCTGGGGCTGAAGGTGGGCAAGCTGAAGGAGGCGCTGCGGAGCGAGCGTGGGCTGGACCTGGAGGAGCTGAGCCGTCTGCGGGGCTGCGGGGACGCCCTGCACCTGCTCCGGGCTCTGCCCCACCTCTGGCTGCGGGACCCGGGCCAGGGCGACGCCTGCCTGGCCCGGCTGGACGTGGGTAGGTGGGCAAGCGGCTGGGAGGGTGCCGAGCAGCTGGGCGGGAGCTGGGGTGAGATGCAGCTGGGGCCGTGGAAGGTGTGGGGAGGACGTGGCTTTTTACAGATCCAGACTAACAGGGCTACCCCTCTGACACTTGAGTACTTGTCGCACCTTAGAGACTAACAAATTTATTTGCGCATAAGCTTTTGTGGGCTAAACCCCACTTCATCGGCTGTATGTAGTGGAAAATACAGTAAGAAGATATATATCATCTGTGGCGCATCGTTCTGGGTGTTGTCTTAATGCTGCCACATTTATTTTCAAAGAAGGTGTTTTCAAAAGAAGGTGCTCGCTTCTAACTCCCAAGGCCCTCAGTATGTCGGATCTTCTTTAATGAGCCCACTTGACAAGTTTTATTGTTCTTGGGTCTGGCTTCCATCCCCTCTCCAACTGTTGCAGCTGTCTGGAGGTGCTGCCTTCCACGCCTTACCCATTCACACCTCGTTCATTCAGGACAATTGATTAAATTGATTAAAAGGGGGCAGATATTATTCTACTAGCGAAAAGACAGTTTTCTTCTACCTTAACTATCCTTAGGGGCTATAACATTATACCAAGGCTCAATACAAAGGGTACGTCCAGACTACCCACCGTATCGGCGGGTAGCGATCGATTTATCAAGGATCGATATATTGCGTCTCGTTAACACGCGATATATCGATCCGCGAACGCGCTCACCGTCGACTCCGGAACTCCACCAGAACGAGCGGCGGTAACAGAGTCGACGGGGGAGCCGCGGCCATCAATCCCGCGCCGTGTGGACCCAAGGTAAATCTATCTAGATACTTCGACTTCACTACGCTATTCACGTAGCTGAAGTTGCGTATCTTAGATCGATTTCCCCCCACCCCAGTGTAGACCAGCCCAAAGTTTCTATATAAGGATTTGGTACAAAGTTCCCATATCAAAGGACTTGATATAAAGTTGTATGAAAATGGAGGTTATATGTGGAAAGACTTGATACACCTCTACCCCGATATAACGCTGTCCTCAGGAGCCAAAAAAATCTTACCACGTTATAGGTGAAACCGCGTTATATCCAACTTCCTTTGATTCACCGGAGTGCGCAGCCCACTCTCCCCCCCC